AAATAAATGGCTGTTTATAAGCTGTTTTGGAGAATGCTTGTACGTGTGGTGGCATTGCGTTGGATTATAGGAAACAAATAAAGCAAAGATAAAAATTGAATATATAATGTGGTGTGAAAACTTCATCTTCTTTAGGATTGCAAGTTGCATTTGTTCAAGAAAAGAGAACCCATTTCTTTATATATTACGTTAGGTTGATTATATAATAATGATTTAAATTGTTTAAGGAACGAAATTTCTATTTGGAATTTTCTCAAGTAACATTTAATGGTTAACCTTTCTTTTAGATAATGTTGGTAGTTGTCGATAAAATTCATGATCACCCAATACTTGTACTTAAAATCAATAATGCTTTATATTATGTTATTGTGTTGTGGAACCCTTAAAAATTTTTAATTATTTTTAGAGCTTTTAGCCAAACCAAAACCAATACAAGAAGAGTTAGCATCCAAGCATGATGCTATTTAGACAATAATTTCTAAAGTCTTTAAAACAAGGGATAATGGCTTTTATATTCGAAACAACAGACTTAATAAACAAGAAGTTGTCAAGCTTGCATTTCCTGAAATCGAAAGAATGAATTATTATTTGGTTCTCACATGCTTGTGCAAGGAACTTTACAGTAACCAATGATGGCTTTAAAAAGTGCGTTAGATTTTAGGATTTGCTTCGAATTGAATAATTGAATAATTTGAATAAACGAACAAACGAATAATATAAGGATTGAGTTGTATTACGAACGTGAATTTGTATTATGTGGATAAAGATTTTTTAATTCTCTACAAATATCTGAGAAAATTTTATACAGTCAAACAAACTCGTCCCAACGAATCATAATCAATTCGCGTTACAACGAAATTTAACAACATATTAATTATCAATATAAAATTCGTTGGATTAGTAAATTTTGGTATAATGAATCTTAAATGCTAAATTAATCACAAATATTGGAATCTTAATTGTTCTCATTTGAAATTTTCTAGTCTGTCATAAAATTATTGACGATGATTTAAATGTTCTAAATTCAATTACGTTATAATACAATTTATTATAGTTTATTGTTGTTTACTTTTATAATTATTCTATTGTTTTCAGTGGTCTGCAAAATCATGATTTTATAAAAAAAAATAATACTAAATTTCAAGTTGGCTCGAGTTAAGTATAAACTCGGCTCGTTCAGAGCTTTACTCACAGCACCATGTTTAATAGATGACCTGATGTTCTCGATTTTGTAATGCTCCCCACTTTTTTACCAAACACAAGTTGGACCATTACTTTTAAAAATTTTGAGGCGAAATTCATCACTCCAAATAACAGATTTCCATTGTCTCGCCATATCAACTGATTCTCTTTTTGTTGATGTATTGATATATCATGTCGAAGATATTTTAAATAAAAAACATCAATGCATTAGAAAAATTCATTTTTTATTTATTAATCAAAATAATAATTTACACATTTATATTATTTCATTTGGGTTTGGGTAACTACTTTTTGGTGCACCTTTTAGGATTTCAGCATTTTCATAGTAGTTTTTGGAAGTTTGAATATCTCTACGATCCTATTAAGTCTACTATTACTACCTTATCTATGGTCCAAAATTTTTCCTCGCTCAGCTTTAGTTAATTCAGAATTTTTTTGATCTATAATCAATTTTATTAACAAATTTTTACCATGACAAAAGCATAAAATTTTGCTCAATTTTATCTCTGAATTGAAATCTATAAAATGATATTTATTTGAAAAAAAAATTATAAATTAAGTTAAACTTTATCGAAGGACAGCAGCTGTGTTGAATCATGTTTCAGTACTGCTGGTCGTATTGAATAAAACTATTATAAGATGGATTTTGTTATTTTGCTATTGTATCTATCTTAGAAACATACTTTAAGCAGTTAGATGGTACTAAAAAATTTTGACATTTTGAACCTTCTGATCCTGGTGTTGTAAAGCCCTTTCATGAATTAAAGCTAGGAGAACAGAAATTTTCAATATCATAAAAGATATTATATATAACTTTATCATTATCATCACATGCTCCTATGGAGACCAAGAATCATCATTACCGAAATTCAAAATCTAAATCGAAAGTCAAACTATGGATACATTTCACTAAAAGTCGCTAATTCTTTTGTCAATCAACTATGGTGCAAGTCACTTAGTCGCTGAACTTTTTGTGCCATGACGCCAATTTTGAGAAAAAATATTCCAATCAAAAATGCAATAAAAAAATTTAGTCACGTGTTTTTTGAAGATCGTCAAGGGAAGAATTTTATCCAAATATAGCTGGCTTGGTCTAAAGACTTAAAGACTAGTCTGAGAAGTTGGAAAAAGAAATTAAAAACAAGCAAATTGAGATAGAACAAAACAAAGCTAACTTAAAATTGAATGCCGTAAATTATGATGATGGTAGTAATTGTATCTACGGCATATAAAAAGTGGTTGCAATTACCTTTGCGACCACTTTTGCAACCATACTTTTTCCTTTTTTGGATTACGG